GAACCCGATCAGAAAGGATATATGTACCCCTATGTTCATAGCGGCACAATTCACCATAGCTAAGATTTGGAAACAGCCTAAGTGCCCATCAGCAGATGAGTGGATTATGAAACAGTGGTACATCTACACGATGGAATACTATGCTGCTGTAAAAAAGAAGGAACTCTTACCATTTGCAACAGCATGGACGGAACTGGAGAGCATTATGCTAAGTGAAATAAGCCAGTCAGAGAAAGATAAATATCACATGATCTCATTCATATGTGGGACATAATGATCAACATAAACTGATGAACAAAAATAGATCCAGAGACAAAGGGCAGGGGAGGGGGGGGGTTAGAGATCAAAGGACTTATATGTATGCATATTAGCATAACCAATGGACACAGACACTGGGGCGGTGGGGGCTTGCCCTCAGGGGTGGGAGTGGCTGGAGGGGGGTCAATTTTGGAAAAAGGAGACACATGTAATACTTTAAACAATAAAAAAAGTTACACTATATAAACCTATTTTTATATAAACCATAAATGAACCCACGAGGAGATGGTAATTTAATCTATTTAGTAGCCATGCCTCTATCTGTATAAACCTATTTTGTCAATCTCAACACTTAGCATAGTCCTGATACAGCAGAGCTTCTCAGTAAATGATGGTTCAGTGAATACATGATTTTATTTAAACAGTAACTACTGGTTTCGCCGCTGACCTATTTCAGCGGAAATGCCCATCGCTACTAGAAGGAAGCAGAGCCATTCTCAGTTTAGGCACCAGAAGGGCGACACCACTGGTATAATTCCTGCCTCCATTCCTGGCCTGAACAGCCGGAGGCTCAGCAGCACCCCTCTGCCATATGGTCACACGCTGGATTCTACCCAAACACCACAGAAGCCGAGACACCCACGCCACCCACGTGCTGTCGCTTTTTGGAATTGTTGATTACGTGAGATTCGTGGCACAGATAACTGCCCAAGAGAATTCTGAGGCAGATTTTTAACTAACCCGTCCTACTCAACTCCTGAGGACGTTATGTCTACATAAGCGGGATCCAGAAGATCATTTAAACCCAGGAAACAAAGCAACACCTGAAATATGCACATGTCGAAGGGAAAATGAGCTTTGTCTTCTTGCTAGTTTTTAATTTGATCATTTTGAATGGCCTGAGACTGATGTTATAAATATCCAAATAGCCCTTGGCAGAAAAAAGGTTCCCCACCCCTGATTTAGAGTACTGAGAAAGCAACTCTTCACTGTTCAAACTTCACTGTACAACACCCAACATGAGTGATCATTCATTCAGAATGTGTGTTACCAACCCCATGATTCCGTAGCCCTTGCTTTGCTCTTGTGAGTATGTGTGTTGGAATCATTGCCCATGGTCACCTAATGTGTTTATGTTTCTCTAATTTCAGCGTGTGGCAAGTTGATGAAAATCACAGGCCCAATTACAGTCAAGACGTCTGGAACCCGATTCGGTGCCTGGATGACTGATCCTCTAGCATCTGAGAAAAACAACAGAGTATGTGTCCTCCACAATTGCCTTTGCTTAGAATGATGTTTTATTTATACCTTTTTTGTCTACTGGACTGTTCATTTTCTTTAGGGATAGAGTTTCAACTTGGAAACGGTTACATCGCTGCAAATATTTTCAATTCGATCATATTAACACAGCTACAGAGATATATGGCAAATTTATTTTAGTAAAATGTTCTATCCTATAATTCTCCAATAGAGTGAATCTAGTTTTTATTTGTTTCAGTCTTGTTTTGCACTTCACAGGGCAAAAATTACAAGAGTACAAAATTCTCTTTATATTTCTACTAAAACTTACTCTATTTATATGAACACACACACACTAAATAAGGGAAAACCTTGAACTTACCAATTCACAAAACAAACTTAAATATTCTTGGAGTCTAGAGTTAACTTTAAGGGAAATAGCACTGAAACTTTGGGGATGGGGAGGTATTAAATCAGCAACATCTATTTATGTGAATCAATATACCGCCAATGTACCATGGCTCTGGGCATGTGCTATTGCAAAACTTACTATACATTAAGATTCACAGGGTTACATCCAAATGAGATTTGTAGCTAGATTAGTGACATGGTTGTGTTAAGAGGTAGGTGTACCTAGAAGCAGGTTCAATGAACAAGGGTTAGTTAACTAGAAGGTTCTGCGGCATCCATAAAGGAGAAATATGTTCAGTGGTGTAAAGTTAGACCACACATTTTTGCAGAGCGAGTTGCAGAATAAATAAAGTTGCTGAAGGCGGTATTTTTGCCGTTATTGATTGCATGGATCGATCAGGTGACTAAACAAAGTGATGTGATTTGTACTGACACATGTCTGGCTCACTCCGTCATGGGCACTGAATGGTCTAAAAAAGAAAGGACAAGAAGCAAATCAATTTCAAGGCAGCAAATTTAGCTGTTTCCTTTCCGCATAGTCCATGCCACTCGCTTTGCAAAAGCCCGCCGTACCATCGGCCCTAAGATAAGGTGGTCTCCGGCGCCTGGGCATCCTGAGACGGATGTGTGCTAACTCTCAGTGCCTTTATTTTGGAATTCTCAGGGAAGTCCAGAATTTAGGTGCTCCATTTATTTATTCTTTCCTCCCATCTTCCCAGGTCTGGTACATGGACAGTTACACCAACAACAAAATAGTCCGGGAGTACAAATCCATGGCCGACTTTGTCAGCGGGGCTGAATCAAGGACCTACAACCTCCCTTTCAAGTGGGCGGGCACCAACCACGTGGTCTACAATGGCTCGCTCTACTTCAACAAGTACCAGAGCAACATCGTCATCAAGTACAGCTTCGACCTGGGCAGGGTGCTGGCCCAGCGCAGCCTGGAGAACGCTGGCTTCCAGAACGTCTACCCCTACACCTGGGGCGGCTTCTCCGACATCGACCTGATGGCCGACGAAATCGGGCTGTGGGCCGTGTACGCCACCAACCAGAACGCGGGCAACATCGTCATCAGCCAGCTGAACCCCGACACCCTGGAGGTGGCCAAGAGCTGGAACACGGGCTACCCCAAGCGGAGCGCCGGGGAGTCCTTCATGATCTGCGGGACCCTGTATGTCACCAACTCCCACCTGACCGGGGCCAAGGTGTACTATTCCTACTCCACCAAGACCTCCAGCTACGAGTACACGGACATCCCCTTCCACAACCAGTACTTCCACATCTCCATGCTGGACTACAACGCCAGGGACCGGGCGCTCTATGCCTGGAACAACGGCCACCAGGTCCTGTTCAATGTCACCCTCTTCCACATCATCAAGACCGAGGACGACACATAAGCGAGTGTAACCTGTTTCCACCGAGCTACACCGTGTCATTTGTGCTCCATTCCCTAGGACTCCTTTGGTGTTGCTTTTCTTCCTTAGAGCGTCCCCACCCTTTCCTCAAAGCATTTCTATCATCACGTGGGTGTTCCGGAAAAATTCAGCGGGGCCCGCCTCAATGAACCCGTTGGACACACATCGGAACTCCTGCATTCACAAGGCCTATCATGTCCTTGTCATGAAAAGCACTACAGAGAGCTTACGTGGCTAAAGTCATACTTTTGCAAAAGATTAATGGTCTGCCTTATACTAGTGTCAGAGACTAATGGTAGCTTCAATGCATGAATGTCTCTCTCTCTCTTTTTCTCAACTCTACCATTTCTTACTATATGTCTCTAGCTCCACATCAGAAAACATTCTGGTAGGAATCAGAAGAAAAAAGGAAGAAAAAGGGAAAAAAACACTTTTCCCCCATTCATTTCTAAAACAGACGTCAGGATTTCATTTACACGGGGAAGAACACGCCACCTCGCTGTTCCCCGGTCCTCTGGCGCGGTGCTGTACAGCCATTTTTAAATCTCTTGCTAACATTTGATTGGCAACCTGTATTTCTACCATTGTGACCACCATTGTGCAATTGTATCTCTTCACTTCTGTGACAGTAAGTGATGTTTTTTTATAAACGACACTGAAGTTCAATCTCAGTGATCCTCCTGGGTCCATGTCCAAGTGTGGTCCCAAGGAAGTATCTTCCCGGCTTCCCCTTCCCATGGTAGTGTAAGCTAAACAGGAAAGCAGACCAGGCCCCTTCCATCCAGTCTTTATTTGACCCCTGACACACAATGGACCACGGACGCGCAAGGCCACACAGACTCGGCACGGGCGAGGCAGTCTGCCCACCCTGCTGAACGCAACCCTTAGTCACACAAATTGGACTCGAGTTGACTATACTCCTTCGTGATACGACCAAACAAATTTTGTTCTTCATAATGAAATATCTCAGTGCTTTAACTTATATTTCACACACAACTTGCAATAATGTAATTCCTTGTGCCAGCACTAGAAAAGTACATGAAGCACATATAAAAAGTCTTTAAAAGATTTCTGTAATATCATCTAGATTCCCATGATAAACTCGGGAGCGGTTATTGGCAAGATTTGTGCAAAAGAGAATGATGGGAAGACTTGGGAGTTGTCTGTGCCATTTAAATGTGCAAACGACCAATCTGGAAGGCAACCTCTGGTCACCCAGATTCTTTGTGTGCAGAAACAATGCAACCAAAAGAGACAGCTTTCATCAGATTTGGTGTCACTAACTCCCAAAACATATTCTCAGTAAATATATCGAACACATCGTTGAGTTTGGATGGACTTTCCATATCTCAAAAACCCTTACCTGACGCCATTTTACAGAAACTAGTATGTGTTGGTTTTAAAATTTAAAAAGTATAGAGTATAACAAATAAGATGTAACTTCAATGGTTGTAAATGCTTAGTTTCGCACATACATCCTACTGTAATTTCCTTCGTAAAGTAAGGATATAACCTTTCAGACGAAGCATTGTGTAAAGAAATGCTAGTGCTTAAGAAATTCATTTCCATTGTCACAGGTAAACCATCACCCTCAAATAGCTCACTGTCAAACACGCAGGATAAAAGAACCCAATTTTGAAAGTGTCCAAGTTTAGCGAAGCTTTCTCTCTCCCTCCCTCCCTCTCTTCCTTCTCCTCTCTTTCCCTCCTTCCCTCCCTCTGTCTGCCTGCCTCCTGTGGTCCTTTGGTGATATTGTCCTTCTCTTTGAAAACATTTATCTAATTTCTCCTCTGCTTTTGGGCGTTAGAAAGTTTAGGGGATCTGCTTGTTGTCGTACACTCGCTACAAAAATAATCAGCCAATACTTTGAATATCAAGAGTTTGTCTGAAGAAAAGAAAGTCAACTGCGGAGATGAATGAACTTTGAAGTCGAGGGCCTCTACGGAACAGCCGGGTTGTCGTTACTCGCTTTTGTTTTTAAAGAGATGGATATGGTGCCACGTACATGCCCACCTGGACTGCGCAGCCTTTTGGGAGACACGCAGCTTGTGAAGCCCTTTGCCTGTCGCGTGCGGCCCGGTCACGGTCATCTTCTCCCACCCCCGTGCGCGCACTGCCCGGGGACGCACAGGCGCCAGGACTGCGCTGGGACCGGGAACGTGAGCGTGAAAATGGATCTGCATTAAACACTCACAGTTCAGAAGCATTTTTCTTCATAAGTTATCAGTTTTGTGCCTGAAATAAATAAGAACTTACTCTCATCACTGTTTTATTTTTAAATCTCAAATAAAATAAATTTTATGAGGGAAATGATGAGCATTTATAAATTGCTCACATAATCCAATCAGTAAAGAAATCCAAGCTCAGAAAGTCTTGTTTTCTTTTATTTTTCCCATCACCATTTATCCCTTCTCTGCCCTCTTCCACCTCCCACGCCCCTTCCCACCCTGCAATCACCACACCATTGCCCATGTCCATGAGTTCTCTCTCTCATTTTTGCTCAGTTCCTCCACCACCACCCCAACCCAGTCCCCACCAAGCTGTCTGCCTGCGCTGAGTGACTGTCCTCAGATATCCTGGCACAGGGTCCGACACAGAATCATCCCACAGCAAAGGCCAATAACCAAAGAAGCGTCAGAGTGAGTCGTAGAGTAACCACCTTCCCTGTCTAAACACACTACACACTTTGTTCCACTCTGAGGTCATGAGAAATTAACTTTCCCAATGTATTTTATTGGGAATAAATGTCTATCAGCTCCTAGGGTCCGACTCCTAACACACGGACAGGGACTGCCACGCAGATAAAAACGGGCTTCCTTTGCTCTCTTGGATCAGTTGTTCCCACGGTGATGCAGTCAACTTCATTCCAGAACAAAGTAGCTGACAGGGGCTACCGTCTTTATTTGCATTGTTTCTCTCCTTGACACCCATTTTTTAAAGAAAAAAAAATCTACATTTTTGCCCACCCAACTCTTGGGTCCTTATTTTGCCTTCTTACCCCTGTGAGTAAAGATTGCGTGTAGATATGGACTCTGGTAGATCAGACTGGGTTTCATCCAAGGGGCCTCTCACCTGCCATCCTCCTCCCTGGTCCTGGGCTTGCAAGGGGTGGGCCCATAAGCAATGTGATGCTCGTCAATCTTTTCCCCTGAGAAAATGCATCTTGTCACACCTTCTAACTAACACCAGTGAGGACCCTCGTGTCATATAGCACAAGCAACTCTTCCGCAACGCAGTGCATTGTTTCTAAAATTAGGCCTAACTACCCGTCTTTGAGCACGTTTCTCGGTTTCTGTAGATGAGAGTGTTGGCTGGATGGGTAGTTACCCAATGGTTCCCTCTAGAGGAGGTCATCCTAGGGACCCCTCAGAGTCGCCAGAGGGACAGAGGAACGTCACGGAGGTGGGGCAAGGGCGTCCAACTGTCCCTCACCACCTCCCACAAGAGCAACCTCACTTTTGTCTACTTTCTAGAATGTTTCTGTTACATGCTTTCATTGTCAGAAAGCATTTCTGTTGTTTTAAGTATAAAAACTACTTATCTAGGTGGTCCCCAGGGTCTGGCTCTCACGTCTCCGAACCTGTGATTCTGAAAGTCAATAAAGGATGTGCATGCATGGGGGCTCGGATGCTTGCATTGCTCAGAATGAAGGGGAAGACACCACAGGGGAAGGGGAGAGGAAAATGAGCTACTAATTGGCTTGAGCTAAGACGAACAGTTCATATTGTTCTATCACTCGACTGAACCCTGCTACCTCACTAGGGATATTCCGCTTGCATAACTCAGTTCAAAATCCATGGTTTCTTCCTCCTTACACTCCGTCAGCAGCTAACTAATGATGCTAAAACCCCTCCAATGAACCCCACATTTGGACCAGCGTTTTACTGCATCAGCTCCCACTAGTGCTACTCTGGGGGAACCACACAATTTCTAGTGGTTCTGAGAAACAGCGGGAACTAACGAATCCCCAAAGGAAAGTGGAGTATGTATCATGGTATAGACAGGCCTGGACTACGCTGAAATTCCTCCTCACGCATCGTCACCTCCCCAGGGCTTTCTCCAGGCTGATTTCAAAGCTTCTTTTGTCCCCTGAAAACCTAGCATTTCAGTTCCACCAAAACAAGGGAGGCCAGTTCCGATCAGCAGGTGGCATGATGGGAGGAAGACAGCAGGCGATGTGAGAAGGTGAAGTAAAGCTTTCAGTCAGAAGGCCGGAGCTCAGGGTGCACAGAGGTTCATCCTGAGCTGGGACGACCCGTTCCTTAGTTGGGCAAATATTTGTAGTGTGACTAGGGAACGCCAGGCGGGCCTGTGAAATCCACCGGGCGGGCTGCTGTGGACAGAAAGTAACTCCAGCCACTCGGGGGCTGCTGGGAACCCTGCATCCGCAGCACTCGACAAGCTGTGCTGGGCGTTTGGTAAGAGCAGGGAGCAGGCATGATCCCTCCTTAAACGCTTCTTGATGGGACTTGGCTGCAAGAGTCAATGGCATGCCCTTGAACCTGCTTACTCATGCCCAACAGCCAGTAAGCTCCATCCCCAGGGACCACGCTGCCCTTCTCATGTGTGTGCCTGCGCTGCCTGCATGAGCGCCTGCCTGACATAGAGCAGCTTCCCCATAAATACTAGTAACTGCTGAACGAACGAACCAACGAACGAAGCAACCAACTGTTAGAAACTCAGCCATGACCTGTCAGAACTCCCGAGTGAATAGCTCAGCCTCTGATGTGACTTAGTCATTCATTTCCTCACTCGCTTTTAAAGTGCTTTATTTATTTTTGCATTTGTATTCATAACAGGACTAAATAGTTGTTTGTTTAAACAGTGATTAATTTAGGAGAAACTTCAAGACTTAAGTCTGTAATAACACAAGCTAAAAACTTGTGATTTTTTTACCCGTCCAGAGGTAACAGTTGAAGCGTGCTTATTCTAAGACTTCCTATAATTACTCTTACTACTGCTAATCATAACAGCCATGCCAGACTAACAGCAGGAGGGAAGGTGAATTAATATGTCTCTTTGCCCTTCTGTGCTCAGCTTTCCTTTTACTAAGATGACAGACACGTATTTGGGGGATTTGGGTAACATTGGGCTTCCTTTAAACACATCTGTGGAGCCATCACCCATGATGAAGTACTGAGAGAGAATCTGCTTTCTATTAGCAACTGAAATATCTTCATTACTTTTTTCCTTGTCAGAGCTTCAGTGCTCACGTTTTAGTGAAGGCTGTTTAGCCCTTCTGTTC